TTTTGATTAGACGAATAAATGAATGAATGTGCAAAGAAACACACTGGTGGACTTTGCATTAATTTTCTAAATTATTTGCTTCCATTTCATTATCTGATTAGTCATTCCCGGAAATACGTTCCACCACCAGATAATTTCACATCACATTCTGGGAAATTTTTGATTTTCAGAAGATTTCTGTCACACAACGCTCTTAAAGTGCATTATCAACGAGTAATACACCAAGAAACAATGCAAATAATAAACGAATAAATAATGAATTCACCAAGTTAACAGTAGTCATCAGAACAAATGACTCAATTTCACTTTACACAGAATCAAAACGTTGTTTTGTGCAGATGGCTGAGGAATCAAGGAAGAAGCATTTGCTGTGAAAAAAACCTACCAGAGGAATACACCGAAGACGATATTTTTTTCTGATTTCTACCCTTCATGATGAATTATCTGATTCAGAATATGGTCGTCTTTATACTATTTCAATTACTCAAACCCTCACCCCTTCGATAACATATCAAATATGGAATCATCCTCAGAATTCTTACCCACTGTTCGCATTCAACGTTCCCAAAACAACGGCCGTCTGCTCAATCTATGTAAGTGATCGACCCATTAATACATAAGCAGTTACTTTTTGTATCATGAAAAAAGAACAGTCAACAACATCTCAACACTGTTATTTCTTCTTTGAACTACTCCTGAATTTAAAATTGACTGAAGTAAACACAAACACACTGCATCAAGTACATTCGAAGATGTTTCTATCAACCATGACCGTTGCCATCCTCAAACTGTGACTAGTATTTCTGATAATGGGAAGGAACTGTCATGAATATGCACCAAAAACAATCGCATCTTAAATTTGAAATTGACTGAAGAAAACACAAACGCAGTGTATCAAGTATACTTGAAAAAGTTTCTATCGACCATGACCGCTGCCAACTTTAAACTGCCACTACTATTTCTATGTGAACGAACAGTCATGAATATGCACCAAAAAACAATTCCATCTTCGTCATTGGTATCGGATACGTCCATCAGCCTCTTCCCGGTTAATCTGTTAAGCTATCCAGTCACAACAGTCACAATCGCTCACCAAACACAAAACGACATTCACGTTCACTACTACGTAGTAATTGCATATTTGATTATTCATCAATCGCGTAATGGATATGTCCCGATAAATACTTTATATAATACCAGTGGTCACACTCGTATGCAATATCATTCATAAATTAACACTGATACACGGATATAAATGGATATTTATAACGAAAACACGCATGCGAATATCTAAAATATCTTCCAGTATTTCCTCATTCATCCACATAAATGCATCGATAAAGCATTAGCCAACCACTCACCTCTCTACTACCAATATAAATTCAACATCTTATAATCACTTGCTTGATTCGCCGCTAAAAACATTTATCATGCATCTTCTCGCACTCCATTCAGCACCTCATAAACTTAATCGAACACACGATGAGAGCTAAGCAATTCGCTTCCTGATGTTAACTTTCCACAACATCCATTCCTTCATTAGTTTGCAACATTCGTGAGCTAATTCGAGATTTCTGGCTGGATGCATTGAGCAAACTTTATCAATACTTAAATGCGCCCACAACGAATAAAACAACAATTATTCCGAACTTCCTTCCGTCTAATACAAAACTAATGCATGCACATACACACTGTGTACATCATTCACTCATATATAATTCATGATAATAAATAAAATTTTCACAACAACAACATCGACTAAACTCATTCAGTTCACTGATTAAACCACTGCGAAAACAGTAGCCCCATAAGGGAATCAACACAATTTTATCACTGATGATTCCACGTCTTAACATTCAGCATATATATGCAACGAATATTGCATGTAATCATTTCTATGATGAATACACTACGAATATGCTTAAGCAAGCTTGCAGAACGTGCGTTTGCTATTCAGTCATAAGCAAATTTTATAATTTTAATTGACGTTTCCGATATTTTATCGTCTTTCCCTATATAACACCTTCTCAGACGTGACTATGTCTACTCTGAGCGGATCGACGTAAATTCCTATCGATCTTTGCCTTACTATTCACTTAATCTTCAGTTCCATCGGTTTAGTTTGCTTTTTGCTGATTGCATTCACCATACTCAAACTATTAAAGATTCTTAATTACGAGCAACTCAAGCAAATTTTAGAATCGAACTTCACCCGAAGAAAAATCCCGAGAATCGCCTAAGTTTGCATTTTTGCGAACTTCTCCAACAAATCTTCATGCTAAAT